CCTATGGGAGCGCACTGACCACCAGAGGGCAGCTCCTGCATTGAGCATCTGCCCCCTGGTGGTCAGTGACGTCATAGTGACTGGTTGTTGCACCCTTTGATCGATTTGCATATTAGGCTTTTATTATATAGGATCATAAATGTGCTTCTGTATAAACTTTAATATAATTGTTCTGAATATTTATTGATGAGTAACAAATTATCCCATTCTTAGGTACATAAACAATTAAAAAAACACATCTGTTTTACCATTTATCACAGCTCTGAGGTTTGTCTGCACTCAATTAGTCAGTCATTGATCATTCTTTCTCATTCAGGCAGTGGCTAGGACTGGAGTCACCTAGAAAATGCCTTACTCACATGAGTGATGCCTGGATTAGGAAGACTCAACCATGTGAGGAATAGCTGATATTCAGGGCATCTCACGCTGCATGGCCTCCTGAGCCTGGCAACCTCAGTGTAGCTCACCCTCTCATTGGGCAGGTGGAAGGTCCCAGAGATGTGTTCCAAGGGAACACAGCAGAAGCTGTATGCCCTTTTTAGCTGGTCTCAGAAATCATGCAACATCACTCTCACACATTTTAATCATTGAGGCACACATAAAGACATGTCTAGGAAAAAAAATTCTGAGATGCCCTAAATTAATTTACAGCAGGCAAAAGGGTGAGAAGAAACTGACTTAATTAGTTAACAGAGCTGCAGAAAAAAAACTAACGAAAGACTGCTCAAATTCCTAAATGTACGGTGATATTTTGATTCGACTTCTAGGCAGCTATTTCAGTTCTCACCTAGAAAGAATAGCTGAGCAGCAGACAGCACTACATCCTGCTTTACACATGAACTTTCCAGGCTGTTGTCCACAACTAACTCAAGAGCAGCAAAAACTTCTTCCTTGTGGCCTATATACTTATCCCAGAACTAACTCCACTTCACCTTCTCCAGCCCCCTTACCTATAGTTAATGTAATTTGTTTCAAAAACAGATCATTATCCATTGTATAAAAGAGCCCCATCCACCATAGGACAGCTGATATATTGGTCTTCTCCATCTAGCCATGCTGCTGGTGGTTTAGACTGCATTCCCCAGAACCGGGTCTTTTTCTTGATACCTTATGGTTCAATAAACTTTTGACCTCAAAGGTCATTGTTTAATATAGGTTTAAACCCACAGAACACACAATGTACTATGCTTTTATCCGAACTATAAATTTACAATTGTATTTCTTTTTTAAAATAGAAGTGATTTACTTTAATACTGGTCTCATGAATTCAGCATAAATCTGCTGATGTTCTAAGTCTTCAGCATATTTGATTGTCCCAGTAATAGAAAACTTGGGCAGGTTTTCTATTCCTGAGATACTAAAGTTGCATCAAGATTGCCCAGTTATATTGTGGTGTGTAATTATTGAACCGTAGTTCACAAAATAGATTCTATCATTTGTAAGCAATCATGTGCACACAAGTAGATAACAAACCTAATCCATTATTTCCACTTTCATTCCTGCACTATACATTCACAGGCAATAAAAGTCACCATGATTTTGCACAAATAGAGATACTTTCAACATAATGCTATTGTGATGTTACAATATCCTGTTGTGTTTCAATTTTTTTTTCACATTTCAGATGATGGAAAAGAACAATTATAAAGTCATTATCTCTTTCCAGAACAATAGTTTGCAGGAACAGGTGCATGTCTTCTCAGTCTCTGTCTGGAGCTCATTTCAATAAGCTTAGATGGGCTGCATTTTTTAAGATAGTACTATTACTATCTCATTTGTTACAACCATTCTTTGTAGTTCTCACATCTGTCAATGTCCACACAAATAGCCCCCTAGAGGAAGCAGATGTTACAAAGTTATAATTGAGATGTCTGTTTTGACTCTTAGACAAAATGTGGACAGCAGACATCCTGGTCTATTAAGCCACATTACCAAATGCAAATTGTTGATGAATATTTTTATTAGTTTTCAGCTTTTGAAATGCTTAAGTCAGTAATTATTACTGAGGAAATATAATATTCTCAGAATACTTAGTCCTTAAATAGGACAGAGGGAAATAATAGATAGAGATAAATATGTAAGAGACATATTTAGATATTATCTGAAAACTAAGTGCAATTTTGTATTTATAATTGTAATTATATGAAGATGCTAGATTGACTTTAACAATATCCAGTATTATTTAATTTACAAAATATGGATCATGCATAACATTTTGTTCACAATAAAAATATTAGATACTGATTAGTGAAGAAGATATAAATATACTTTTGGGTAATGTTAAACTAGATATTTGATTTAGATTTTATTTTAAATTTTATTATTAATTTTTAAATATTTTTATTGATTTCATTTTTTAATCCTCACCCGAGGATATTCTTTCATTGATTTTTAGAGAGAGTGGAAGAGAGAGGGAAAGACAGAAAGAAATATTGATGTGAGAGAAACACATCAATTGGTTGTTTCCTGCAGGAGCCGGGACCAGGGCCCAGACCAGGGAGGAGCCTGCAACCAAGGTACTTGCCCTTGACAGAAATGGAACCTGGGACCCTTTGTTCCATAAGCTGACACTCTATCCACTGAGCCAACTGGCAAGGGCTATTTTTATTGATTTCAGAGAGGAAGGCAGAAGGAGAGAGAGATAGAGACATCAGTGATGATAGAGAATCATTGATTGGGTGCCTCCTGCACTCCCCATACTGGGGATGGAGTTTGCAACCCAGGCATGTGCCCTAACTGGGAAACAAACCTTGACCTCCTGTTTCATAGGTTGATGCCCAAACACTAAGCCATGCCAGCGAGGCTAAATTTTGGGGTTTTTTTGTTCATACATCTTGTGCAAGCATATCCATACTATTTCTTAATAATTAATAGTAACTTAAGAGAACCTATTGATTTTTTGATACCATTGTAATTATCCTATATAATAAAGAGGTAATATGCAAATTGACCCTAACAGCAGAACGACCAGGAACGACCAGTTGCTATGACGTCCACTAACCACAAGGGGGTAGGCACTCAATGCAAGAGCTTCCCCCTGGTGGTCAGTGCACTCCCACAGGGGAACTCTACTCAGCCACAAGCCAGGCTGACGGCTGCACCAATAAAGGGAATAGCAACTTCACATCTTCCATCCAGCACCTGGATAGGCTGGGGCAGTGGTCGGCAAACTCATTAGTCAACAGAGCCAAATATCCACAGTACAACGATTGAAATTTCTTTTGAGAGCCAAATTTTTTAAACTTAAACTATATAGGTAGGTACATTGTTATTAACTTAATTAGGGTACTCCTAAGGCTTAGGAAGAGCCACACTCAAGGGGCCAAAGAGCCGCATGTGGCTCGCAAGCCACAGTTTGCCAGCCATGGGCCCAGGGGGAGTGGGCCTACACCATCAATCAGACACCCCCAAGGGCTCCCGGGCTGCCAGAGCAATGTCTGACTGCCATCTTAGGCCCAATCCCCCAGGGAGTAGGACTATGCTGGCAGGTGGACATCCCCCAAGGGGTCCCAGACTGCAAGAGGGCACAGACTGGGCTGAGGGACCCCCCCAAGTGAACAAATTTTCATGCACCGGGCCTCTAGTTTATTAATAATAGGATAGGAGTAAAGGAAATGCCAGACATTATAGATATGTTCCCTGAAAAGCACTCGGGGAGGGAACCACATAGGGAAGATAGATGCATGCCCAGTAAAGTTGTGGTGACATAGGGAAGGTACTTGTCTGTCAATCACAGCTGCAGATAGAGATAGTTGATCAGAATGGGCATGGACATTGCAAGGGCACGAAGATTTGGAATACATAACTCCTTAAACAAGGAATTTGCTCTCTTGTTGTGCTTGACTCTTGTGCTCTTGTGTTTTAGGGACTCTTGGGACTCTTGTTGGTTAAGGCACACTCTCTTGAGTCTCTTGCAATCACCAATATGGCCCTCAGCCATGTGACTCCTAACCCCCCCGCCCCCCAGGCAAAGGACTAACGCACTGCAAGTAGCCTGATGCTGAACTGGACCTAGCTCCAACATGGAAAGGAAACTCAGTACAGCTCTGATTTTAGCTCTACTGAAACCCCAGCTACATTTCTTTTATGGCTGGACTAAGGAAATGGGACTTTGAAAACCCAGAGGTGTAATTCCACAGAAATAAAGTTTTCTAGTATATCACATCCTCCCCTGCAAATCTCAAAAAAAAATATATATTTTCTCAGGATATTGTAAGGGCCCCATCCACAGCAGCAACTGTGGAGACCAGGCACACTCCCCCTCCGATAACAATTTTATTGCTTATATATTAATTTACAAAATACATACAAAAAGAGAACAAAATATAATTTTCAGTTTGGTATTCTGGCAGATACATTTTCTGCTTAATCTTTAGCACCTAATTCATATTATTTATTTATTTTAGTTAGTGTCCATTTCCTCAAGCTAGAATGTAGGTTCTCTAAATGCACGAATATTTGTCTGTTTCATAGAAAAATTAAAACTGTATCACCTGAACTATAGGTGCTCAATAAATGCTCATTGAAAAAATAAACAAATGAGCATCATAACTAATAGTGAATGAAGAAATTACTTTTTAGAATACAATATGTAATTCTTATTCAAGTGCACAAATTTAAAAAATATACTACTACTATTACTACTAATTCTACTATTAATAATAAATATTATGATCATATGATGGTGATAAGAAAATACAAAACACAGTAAAGAAACAAATGAAGATAAGAACATATTTTCTGCATATAATTTTTTCTAAAGTGAGATTTTGATGTATAAATATTCAGGGAAAATTGTTTTCCTCTTTTACAAATTCCAAAATGTAAATTGATGCTGCTTAAGTAATGCTAGTCTGTTATGAATTTAATGAAAATATTAAAGCTATCCTAAATTCTGTATATTCTTTTGATTTTCTGAGTAGAAAACGAAGACCTGTATTTTCTACAAAATTTATAAACAATAGCATGATTTTTTTTTTTTTTTTTTTTTTTTTGGCGGATCCTGGTGGCCACCAATCTGTTTGGCCGAGGGATGGACATTGAGCGAGTCAACATCGTCTTCAATTATGACATGCCCGAGGACTCGGACACCTACCTCCACCGGGTGAGTGGCCCCACAGAGGTGGCACCTCCCTGATGGCCCCTTCCTGGGGTGGGGACCAGGCCTGGCTTGTCCTCAGATCCCCAGGTTGTGTCTCTGCCTGACCTGAGTTCCTGTATCTCCCTGCAGGTGGCCCGTGCCGGTCGCTTTGGCACCAAAGGCCTGGCTATCACTTTTGTGTCTGATGAGAATGATGCCAAAATCCTCAATGATGTTCAGGATAGGTTTGAAGTAAATGTGGCGGAGCTTCCTGAAGAAATTGACATCTCCACGTACAGTAAGTGGCTCGGGCAGGAGGGTTGTGCTGGGCCCCGGGGGCCTCTCCTCCTCTCACTGGCCTCCGCACGTTTTGTCTTACAGTTGAGCAGAGCCGGTAACCACAACCTGACATCCCGGAGCCACCCTGCTTCCCACGTGCTGCTTCAAGTCCTCTTTCTAGGCGACAGTGCGGCTTTCTTTTTCTGTTCAAACACTGTAGATTTGTGTAAGAATAAATTTTTATTATGAAAAAAAATAAAAATAAAATAAAAGTGAGAAAAATCCCAGCCACCTTGTCCGTGAGTACAAAAACTTATAAATAAACTGAGGCGTGGATGCATGGAACAGACTGAAAGATCTCAGAGGGAACCAGTCTCTCCTCCAAGGATGCCAAATAGATCTGATATTCTTAAACAATGTCCAATCTTAAGTCAGATTTAAAACAATCTGAAATGGCATTCTGATTTTGACATACTAATTGAGATTCGTTGTTTATGGAATTAATTCTTTTGATATACATTCAAGTGGGTGTGGTCATTATGCTGCTTAGAGAACAAAGGCGTAAAGGATTCTGCCCACAACCAAACGCCTGTTTCAAAGTAGAGAGGGGATTTAATCTTCCTTTATATCCAGAGCAGAAGTTATTGGCAGAGATGACCTTCTATCACAGTAGCTTGACCTCATTTGAGGTGAGTTGAACAAGGAAGGCCCTCTCCATTCCATGATAGCAATATTAAACTAAAGGCTGTCTCAATTTTGGAACAGAGATTTGTCACAGGACATTACAGGAGTACATGTTTTATTTGATTGCAGTACTGTGAGATTCATCTTTTTGAGAAAGTTCTACTCAGATTTTGGTTGGATTTAGGAAGAAGGATCAAGCCCACAATCTGGGCATGTGCCCTGACTGGGAATTGAACCATGAACTCCTGGTTCATAGGTCCACACTCAACCACTGAGCCACACTGGTCAGGCAAGATTTTATTTTAAAGTTTTCATTTTCCTTATGTTTTTAGATATCCTAGGGCAGTAATGGTGAACCTTTGAGCTCGGCGTGTCAGCATTTTGAAAAACCCTAACTTAACTCTGGTGCCGTGTCACATATAGAAATTTTTTGATCTTTGCAACCATAGTAAAACAAAGACTTATATTTTTGATATTTATTTTATATATTTAAATGCCATTTAACAAAGAAAAATCAACCAAAAAAATGAGTTCGCGTGTCACCTCTGACACGTGTGTCATGGGTTCGCCATCACTGTCCTAGGGGGTCAGAAATCGAAATTCCCCCAAAGAGCAGCTGGCTCTGTGAGCGAAGCCCGCTGGCTGTAAGCAGATACGGAGTAGTGAGAACGGTAACGTGGGAACACTTACATTGCCGCTGACGCTCTGCACTTCCGTCTGTGTATGACTCATGACAATTAGCAAATTTGTATTCTTATTTAAACTCTTCAACATTTTATTTAAATCATACTTGTGGAACAAAATTAGTGTACAGCACCTGGTTTTGATAATGTAATAAGTTGATTAGGGTTATTGTCATGTTCTATGATCTGCTACATTACAAGTGATAAGGGGAATATTTTCTTGGTTATTATGTTAACTTACATATTGGGTGATTGAAGAAATGCTTATTGACAACAAAAGATGTAGGAACAGTCAATAAGACATAGTGGAAATTTAAGTTAATAAGATTGTTATAAATGCCTGTTAAAATAAGGACAATATAATTGATTTCTTTGGTCTTCCAGTATTCACTTTCTACAGGTGAATGTAAAGGAATTTGATTAGAAGATATTTGATATCTATTTTAACTCTAAAATTCTATGGTGAAAAATAAAAAAAAATTGAAATTGCGTTTCAGAGCTCAAACCTTATTGTTTGCTGATAACAATTAGAACCAATTGATAGGGCTTCTGCTTAGGATAACCAAGAATCAATAAGTAAACCAAGAATTTAATAAGTAAAGATATTATTATTTATCTTTGTATTTTTGAATCAAATACTGACCACTTGAAAAGATGGTGTGTTTCATACTGTCAAAACATTTAATTTGATAAGATTTAAAGTTAAATTTTGCATTATCATGAAAAAAATCCTTATGGGAATTTGGGGGATTATTTATGCTTCCCTGCATGTACTCTGAGTACAGTTATAAGTATGCAGGAAGTGAAATAATATTCTGTAGAGTACATTTTGTCCCACTAAAAATGTTCCATACTAACTTTAGCTGATAATATGGTATCATGTGAGGTATTTAATACATAAGTAAAAATATAACTAAGAAATTAATAATCATTGCCTAATTTTTCTTAATATTTTTATATAGTATCTCCTAAAACAAATGATGTCTTGCTGTGTGGCAAGGATTTTATAGAAAGGAAAAATGTATTTTTTATTAAAGTATAATGGGCCTGCATGTCAGTGGGAAAACCTTCTGTCCCTGAGCATGTATCCTACTACCAAAGATGGCATAATGATTAATGCTAGAAAATGTAGATGAATGGGTATCATAAAAGCTGCCAAAACTTTGATTCCTTTGCCACTTACATTTTATCTTACATAGTCTCTTGATATAGTTATCCATTATTAATGTAGAAAACTGTTATTTCATTCATGAATAATTTAGGAGACACAAAATGGATGATGGGAAGTTGGGAAAGTAGAAATGTCATTTTCTCTGATCTAAGTTCTATAAAGCATAAAAACAAATGTTACTCTCAGTAATGTGTTCAGTATTGTGCTGTGGAGATTTTGCTACTCTGTGATTAAACAAATTGAGGAAAGCTCTAGCTTCACAGTTTACATCTTGTTTTTCCTCTCTAAATTTTCCTGTCATGGAAATTAACATCTATGACAGAGTAAATAGAATGTGATTTTGTATTGGAAATGGTTCCTATGAACAGGGTTGATTTACTTTCATCATTATCATAACAACTTAGTGTATAATACGAAAAGCTTTCTTAATTTCAGTTGTGTTCTGCTAATGTGTGTTACCTGAAGATAATATATGCTGACTTTCTTTAGTGTAGGCCTAAGTCTTAATGCATTTAATTTAGGGCTAAGTAGTCAATGACTAAATTTATTGTGTAGTTCAAAACAAAGATGGCCTTAGCCAGGTTTGCTCAGTGGATAGAGCATCAGCCAGCACACTGAAGGGTTGTGGGTTTGATTCCATTCAAGGGCACGTACCTCAGTTGCAGGCTCGATCCCCAGCCCCCAGGGCATGTGCAGGTATGTCTTTCTTACATCCATGTTTCTCTCCCCCTCTCTCCCCCTCCCTTTCATTCTCTCTAACAATCAATGGAAAAATATCCTCAGGTGAGGATTAACAAAAAACAAACAACAATAAAAAAAACAAGGATGGGTAAAACCATCAAAATATCTTCCTGTTTTATGATTTCCATTAAAAAGGTGATGTGACATGACTAAAAAAGGGCTTTGCATTAAGTTTTTAATTTTTTAATCAGTATAATTTTATTGAAATTAAACATCAAAATTATTCTGGTAACAATATTCTAGAGCTTAAGATAAACCTCCCTGCTAAGGACACCAGATTTATGAATAAAATGTTACCATGATAAGGGGTTAGTAGACCAAATTCTAGGAGGAAGCAAAGAACCATTGGCATATGTCTAGTACTTGGAGAAGAAAATTGAGCTTCAGATGTTGTAGATCTGAGAAACAGGGGAACAGAGTGCATGGGCTGCTTAGCTAAGGAGGGCAGTCTAATTTACGGTGTTTAATTCTGGGATCCCGTATGGCTACACCGCAGACTGAGGATGAAACTGCACTCCTGGGGACGTTCAGTCTGGTTTCACCTCAAGCCTAGAGTTTGGCCTAAGATTGTCTTTGTCTCCTAGTGCCCCTGCCCTTTGGGTATCTGATACAAAAGCAAAGAAAGTATATTTGCAGGAAGTTAATATTATCATAGGTCATAAAATTGTTACTACAAGTAAATTTTTAAATATTACACAATCAATGAAAACCAGACATGCAAGATTTTAAACACCATGCCTGAGAAACATGGAAACAGCAGGCAATAGAAAAAGATTCAGAAAGACACAAGATTTTGGAATGATCAGGTACTTTTATAAATTAAATAATACTGAACATACAGAACTGCCTCATAAAATTCCAAAACAGTGCAAAGGAACAAATCAATATGCTTGCAAATGAAATGTGACATGTGTATCTTATATTCAATAATAATTTTAAGCAGTGAAATTTCCTTTTTATAACCTTCATATGCTCAATCCCCTAACTAACCTTTTCTCCCTCTTTCTAGTATTAGCTTATTTTAGATTTATGGACCTCTTCATGTGCTTACCCTATACCAAATGTTCTCTGACAAATTATTTACAAATGTCAATGTTCCCATTTAGATGGGTGCAGTTTTAATTTAAGTCAGATTTACTTTTTACTTATTTTATTTTTTTGTCTTTACAGTCTAACTGCAGAGATCAGATTAAAGTTTTAAATTTAAAAATGGAGATATAGAAAACTATGAGATATTGATTAACCTAGTGAAGTGGTCTGTTTAAAGCATATTTTCCATAACAGGCTACATCGGTTTCATTTAATTCATATGCTAGTTTTCTTTTTATGGTTTTTTTTTATCCTTGTTTACATAGAATACTTGAATTAAGTAAAAGCAGTTAAAAGCCTTATATAGCTATGAATAAAAGAAACTTGGAATCCACAATTAACTGAGACTTAGTACAGCAGGTCCTTGAATAACGCCATTTTACTCAAAGTCATTTTGATATAAAGTAGACCAGAAAAAAACAAAACAAAACAAAACACCTATTCCTGCTGGGGCCACTGTCCTGTGGAGTGGCATTGTTCTCCCCATGTCTGCAGGGGTTTTTCCCCCCATCCCAAAGATGTGCAGGTTAGGTAAATCAGTGTGTGTGGGAGTGGGTGTGAGTGTGCCTCCGATGGAATGGTGTCCTGTCTAGGTGGGCTCCCACCTTGTACCTTGAGCTGCCTAGATAGCTCCAGCCACCTGTGACCCTGAATTAGAATAAGCACTACACTAATAAAAGACAAAGATGCTAATTGACCATACCTTTGCTACACTCATCAGCCAATCAGAAGAGTATGCAAATTAACCCAACAAAGATGACTGTTAAATTTGCATACTGCAGGCAGATCTCCCTGGGCCACCCTGCCCAGGTGGCAGTGAGATCCCAAGCCACCGCCTGCCCC